CCGAACGGTGGCAGCCGCAGAGTTAAAGACAAAGAGGCAACATCCTAAGCAGTCCAGCGGCGATGCCCAACGCGTCTCGCCATGTTCCGGAGTCCTCCGCTGCCACAGTGCTTGCCGAACAGGTCGGAGGTTTAGCGGCAGGGCTAAACGGGAAGGAGAGCGGCCCTGCACTGAGCAGCAGGGTTTCTTAGGAGTAACCGCAGCCGCTGACTGCGCTCCTTGTGGGGGGAGCCCCGCTCGAGTGGGCACGCTCCGTGCTTTCATTCAGAGTATTTTAGCACCCCGTTCTCTCCTGACTACCGGCTTCTCCCCGCCTTTTCCCCGAGCGGCAGAAACTTCGGGCGGCCCCGGCGTGCAGGTTTCACGCCAGCCCCGGTAGCGGGGGACGCCGGGTCTGCCGGCCGGGCAGACCCTTGAGCGCATCCCCGAGCACGGCGGTCCCGGTTCGTGTCCCTGTGCCGACACGGGCACAGCTGAAAAGCGTCTCCCCCGTGGGCCCGGAGCTGCTGGCTGCGACAGCCGGGGGTGCCAGCACGCAGGGGTGGCGGTCTGCCCGACACCACGGGCTTGGGAGGCGCGGAGGACGTCGTTTTAAGTGGTTTTGCGAGTAACTAACTTGGATTTCACACGGTGCAAAAGTGCTGGGTCTGTGAGATACGGGTTTAGTCTAGGTAAAAATTTGCGGGCTGATATTGAAAGAAAACTTTAAGGGAGAATAACTACTTTCAATATAGAAGTGACAATATTTTCGTTCAGCTTTTTTAAAGCTTGCCCCTGATCATTTTCGGATTCAATTTATTCTTTAAGTTTGTGATTCCATAAAATAAGGACTAGGCTAAAGGTGATCTATAAGTATAAACATTCAGAAAATTAAAACATAGATGCTGATGCGTTTTATTACACTTGCTAAGTACCATGCAGATTTGATGATGATGGGAAGTTGCATGTCTTCATGCAATTTGTCTTTTTAAATAAAACTTTTTTTCTCCCTATTTTCAGTGGTGTGCTTGTTTAAGTAAGTTTCCTCTCTAGATGAGAAAGTTGCAGAATATTTGAATTAGTAATGTAAATTCTAATTGAATATGCTATTTCTTCTTTCTGCCAGTGTCTCAGTTTAAAATGGTGAATTACTCTTACGATGAAGACCTTGAAGAGCTGTGTCCAGTCTGTGGAGACAAAGTGTCTGGGTACCATTATGGACTTCTCACCTGTGAAAGCTGCAAGGTTCTGTGCTAATTACTACATAAAAACACAAGTACAGCAAAAATGTTTCAAATATAAGCAGAAAAAAATGATCATTAAATAAACCAGATGTATAATATTTTGGGTTTTTTTTATATGTTTCTTAATACATTCACATAAAATAATTAACCATCAAAAAGCTTTAGGACATAGAAGTCTCTGAGAGAGAGATCTGCACAAATGCAAACAACTTGGACTATTTTGCATTGTAGTTTTGTCATTGTTTTTTAGAATTTTGCTGTCATTATGTAGTTCTGAGAACAACTTTCATTGCTAACTGTGCTAAATATTTGTTTTAGTTGATTTATATTACTTTTTCTGGAGGATAAAGTAGGAAGATTATCCTTAATGCAGATTAGCTTTGCAAAGTCTAATGCAGCTTTCTTAAGATTTTTATTTTCATCCTTCAATATTGCAATGTAGATTTATGTGATTATAATGACCATGCATTTTTTTTTTATGCAAACTGTAACTTTCAGAGTTCACTTGACACACAAAGTCAAGTAACCAATTAACATATAGAAAGATGAATATACATGTGTTATTTTGCTGTGCTATAAGGTTTAAGTAATTGTGAATTTATGACAAGTTAGATTTTTCATGTAAAAATTTTTGAATGTTTTTTTACTGTTATTTAAGCAGTGCACTGTAAGTGAAGCTCCCTTGCCAGAATAATACCATTTAAAACACTTAGTTGCATGGAAAAATTAACTTAGTCCACTATATTTTTACTAAAAAAATAAGCAACAAGAAGTGAATGACGAGCACTTACTATGCCTCCAGCATGCCCCACTAGGAAGTAAGATAGCCAGAGGTACTCTGTACTTTTCTTATCTTTGCAACAACATTCCTGCTTATTTCATGTAAAACTACTTTAAAGGAAGACTTTAATAATTCTGCAATGATTAAAGAATACAAAAGGAAGCAGTCAGTGTCACTATTTCTGCCACTGGTGTTAGAAGCACAGAAGGCTACAGCCTCGCTAATGTCTCAGCAAGCTTTGACATCAAGTCTATAAAACATAGCACTAACACAAGAAAATGTCCTCTGGAATCTGGTGGCTTTCTCCTGGGTTCAGCTGACTAACTTTAAATAAACTATGTAACATTGTAAGTGCTTGAATGGCATCTGAAATTTATCTGAAAATTATCTTACAATGATTTCCATAAAATGCTGAAACACACGTTCAAGCAAAACAGGCTAATTTTTGTGTCTATCATACAGGGATTCTTTAAGCGAACAGTCCAGAATAACAAAAGGTACACATGTATAGAAAATCAGAATTGCCAGATTGACAAAACACAGCGAAAACGATGTCCTTACTGTCGATTTCAAAAATGTCTAAGTGTTGGAATGAAATTGGAAGGTAAGAGCTATAGTCTTGCTGGTATCTTCAACTATATTATGAAATTATAGGATAAGATATTAATGCACTGTATTTTATATTTAAAAGTTATATAGCTATGGCTTTGAAATTATAATAAAAGGTTACTTTGTATGGTCAGTGAAATTGTTGCTTTATAAAAAAAGTCTTATAAGTAAATGGTAGATCACTACCATTTAGGAACCAGTCAAAATCATAATCCATTTTGTCACGTAACTATATAGCTTGGTATTTTATGCTTTTAAAGTTCGTGAATTCCTGGGTGTAGAATGAATAGTTTTGCAGCTTTTAAAAAATACTTAATTTAGATTAAACATAAAATTTGTAACAAGTGTCCAAATTAGAAAAAAAATTACTCTTTTGCTATGGAGAGTGATCTGATTTTATTTGTATTTTATCTAGGATTTTTTTGGTTTTGTTTTTTTTATGTATGTTCTTCTGACAACAAGAATACAAAGAAATAGATAAGGGTTTTTCTCACACTGACTCGCCTTTGAGATTAGGAACCAAATAATCTCTGATGTTGTGTCCAATATTTTTTGTGATGCTACACCTGCAAGGCTATTGCAATTGAAAGAAGATAAGGCGTGTTAAAATGCACTTTTTGACTTCAGTTCACTTTCTCATCTACAGAGAACAATAAAAAGTGTACAATACCTTTAAGATAACCAAATGCAAAAATAGAATCAACTTGAATTTGTGAATCATAAATGGTTCATTCTAACTTTGATATATAAAATCTTAAAATTCAGATTTTGGAGCAGATGACATTTTTTCCTTGACCAAGGACAAGCTCCTAAATTCCTTACTGTTACAACTGTATGAAATGACATTCACCCTAGATGCTTAACCAGAAAAAATCAGGCCAAGTGGGAAAACTACAAGCCATGAAGGGAACCAGAAAGGATAAGAGCCAGTCAACAAGCTCTGGCAAAGGGAAGCTGTTTATATAAATGCAGATAAACAGAAACATCAGCCTCCTGCTGTTTCAATAGTGTTGTATTTTCTCACAAAACTGAACTAGCACTGACACACTGCTAAACATCTAACTAAACATCTTGCATCATTGCATGTGCTTCCAAATTCAAATAATACAATTACAGGACATGTGGAATCCTTTTGTCTTTTTTTGGCATTAAGAAGAAGGATAAAATACTTTCTTTTAACTCCCCTCACTTGCTGACAATGATACAAGACCAAATTTTGTCTTCTGTCATTACACAAAGTTCGCCTTAAATTTAAGTAGTGCTTATACAAAAGCACTTGCTAATCCAATTTGGCTCATGGTTTTTAATTGCAGAGTATCTGTGAGGATACTGTGTATACAGATTTAAAATTAATTACATTTACTAGTGATGTAATTAATTTCATGCATTTTGTTTAAAGTCAACATTCAGCAGTAATATTGACAGCTCATTTTTCCTACAAATTCAACTTCTTTTTCGCTGTTTAGAAAATTGGAAGAACATGTTTTCTTAATTGTAAATACTTGTGACATTTATATGTGTATTTCCCTGATAGTGATACATATAGCCTTAAAAGTCTAGTTCATAAATTACCATGGACCAAAAAAATCATTAAACATTAAAGTCCTTACGATAAGGTACAGTATTATGCGTATCTAGCATTCATAATAAATTTTTAATGTCCTACTAATCCCTAAGATAAAAAGCTCAAGAACTTAACCTCCAGCAATCTCAGCAGTCTCAATGTGTCACCAGTCTGTCAAAGGTTCCTCTTTCAGTCTAATTGCCATTGGGCAAGGTGGGCTTGGTGAAAGTCTTCAATAGTCCACTACATATATCCCATGGTGACAGACACTGTGGTGACAGAGACCACCAGTATGACTCCCAAGGCAGCTGTTGAGTAGGATTTGTTTTAATTATTTCTAATTCCAGAGATATTATGAGCCAGAACAGTGTCAACAGTTTCTGTTTCACTTCTATTTGCCGTGTAGAAGGCAGCAAGCTGACAGCTTTCTCTACACACATTCCAACTGCAGCTAAACATTTCCACAGAACTCAGCTAACTAGAAATCTCAAAGTTTTACACCAAGCTGGATAGAATAGTCAAAAGGAAATGCTTCCTTTTTGCCAAGAGAAATGTATTCCTCTTTGTGACTACTGAACATTTCACAATTTACATTTCAGATGTTTTGCTGTGGTGGAAGGCAGTAATGGAATGATTATAATGAGACAATGTGGTCTGCTGGATACGTCTCAGACAAATTCCGGACTTCAGCCCTTGTTTCTTAATGACATAGTAGCTTGATATAGACCCATATGTACATTGAGATTTCCACATGATCCCATAGCAGGTGTGAAATCCCTGTAGCCATCCATTGTGTTTGTCCCCGTGTCCTAATCAATGTACAGAAAAGTCCTTCTTTGCTATAATGCAATATATGCAGTAATTATAGTAGTATAATTAATAGTAATAATAGTAATATATGCATGTGATTTAAATCACATTTAAATCACTAGGAAAAAGTGACATTTGTTAAGTCAAAATAAATACTTTCCTTAGGAATAAAAGTGCAAGTCTGAATTTGGGGAAAAAAAAAATACTTGCATTTTTACATTTCTACTCTTTCCTAATATATGCTTGATTAAGAATGTTAATTCCAAGTGTTAATAATGATTTACTTCCTCCTTTCCCATGACAGCTGTGCGAGCTGACCGAATGCGTGGCGGTCGAAACAAGTTTGGACCAATGTACAAGAGAGACAGGGCATTGAAGCAGCAGAAGAAAGCTCTTATCCGAGCAAATGGACTGAAACTGGAGGCCATGACTCAGGTGATCCAAGCAATGCCAACCGACCTGACAATATCCTCTGCAATCCAGAACATCCATTCAGCTTCTAAAGGCCTACCTCTGAACCATACTGCCTTGCCTCCTACAGACTATGACAGGAGTCCCTTCGTGACTTCTCCCATCAGCATGACAATGCCACCCCACGGCAGTTTGCAAGGCTACCAAACCTATGGCCATTTTCCAAGCCGTGCTATCAAGTCCGAGTACCCTGACCCTTACACTAGCTCACCAGAGTCAATAATGGGCTACTCATACATGGATAGTTATCAAACAAGCTCACCAGCAAGTATCCCACATCTGATATTGGAACTCCTGAAATGTGAGCCTGATGAGCCGCAAGTCCAAGCTAAAATCATGGCGTATCTGCAGCAAGAGCAAGCCAACAGAAGCAAACATGAGAAGCTCAACACATTCGGGCTTATGTGTAAAATGGCTGACCAAACTCTCTTCTCCATTGTTGAGTGGGCTAGGAGTAGCATCTTCTTTAGAGAACTTAAGGTAGGTAAAAATTTTATATATTATAATTTAGCCAAGAAAAAAATACTATTTCTTACAATCTTGTACTTCAAGCAGGAAAGCATGGGTTTTGTTTTCTCCCCCCCAAGCACCTCATTCTTTATTTATTTGGCTTGAAGTAGGCAGACTATTAAAAGGAGAAACTTGCCAATGACTTTTACTGGAGCCTGTAATGTGCTGTAGCAAAGAGATTCAATATTCAGTTCAGCTTTTCTCTACTTTATTTATCACAACTATTGTTAACATCCATAGGGCCTCACATAATTCTACTCCTTCCTTGTCAGCATTGCTCACTCTCTGGCTTGTACTCAGGGTTGTAAGCACACCTGTTACACCATTCCACATTGATTTATGTAATTATTTTATTACCTTATTTAGCATATGGGGGAATGCCATTTCTGTCCACCTCCATTCACCCATGATATAAGCTCATATTTGGAATATTCTCAATGGGATATTATTTTATTCATTCCTGTGTGTCTAATTAACCTCACAGGCTGAAACCTAAGCAGGATATACACAGAACAGAAAGCAAGGAGGAAGTAGATACCTCAAGGACTCCTTTTGGTTCTGATCATCATTGATACACGGGGGATTCCTTTAGTCTAGGCTGTTACAATGACCTCTAGGCTCTTATATTTTGCTGGAGCACTGAGGAAATCATCATGCACTGCTTTCTGGTGGACAGAAATATCCCCATTTACATTTTTCAGACTTATTGTTAAAGCAACTTTGTGGTCTGTTATGAACAGGTCTGAAATTTCAAATCTGAAATTTTAAGCCAGAAATTTGAAATCAGATAATAGATATGAACTGCAGTTTTAAACCACTGTCTTGATACAGAAATTAGCTCTGGAAAGAATAACCTTCAGTCTCAAAAAAACCCTCAAAATGGTGAACTCAACTCACTTCTGAATTTCCCTGTTACATTGCTAGTTACTGTGTCTGCTATAGAGAGATGTTTTTGCCATGAGTACTTGCTACCGAAATCTGTAAAGTTTTGTGACCGCCCATAATTTCTGACTACTTTCAAGCTAAGAGAATATAACTCAGCTTCCAAATATAAAAATTACTTTAGGATTTCACTGAGAATTGAATCTACATGAGTTAAGAGCACAAAAGTGAGATCCATTGAAAAGCTGCACTCAAAGAGCTGGCTGCAACAGTATGTCTGTCATGACCATAAGGACATGGACACATAACATAAAGACAGATTACAAGAAAAGCAAGATATATATGCTGTATATGCAACTCCAGCTTCTCTACATTTTTTTGTGAGAATTATTGCAGGAGTCATTGAAAGCTCGGTCAATTCAAAGAGAAAGAAGAGAGGAAGTTTACTCAGAGAGGAAAACCAAAATGCATTAAAGAGAGGAAAAGACTGTCACATTTGCTATCTCAGTTGTATACAATTTTTTAGTCAGCTATAAGTCACACTACTCATTTTAAATCATTTAAATTTTGAAATTGAGACCACGTTATATTTCCAATAGACCATGTGGTAATTATCTGAGACCAGATCTTTCTATCCATACACTTTAGTCTAGAGTAAAGTACTCTAGAGTTAAATATTACTGTCTTGCATATACCTTTCAGCGTAAAAATTTTGAAGTTTGCCAAAAACCTGCCTGAAAATTACATTTATGATTAAAGTGACAAATTTTATAAGTATTCAACATGCTATTCTGGGAACAGTTTTAAAAATGGCCTTCACCTCCAACCTCAGCCTGGATTATATTCTTCAACCAACCTGTGTTTACTAGTATGGACACAAAAGATGCAGAAATTTGTTTATAAAAATGCTGACCAACTTCTCCTGGTTCTGGATGTATTATACATTACTATGTACACACACTTCTGGAAATACATATATCTAAAAGTTTGCTACATAGAGCCTTTGGCTTATGAACTGATTTTCACACATTTTTAAGAAGGCATTGCTTTCACCTCAGTGCTTTGTACCCTTTGTATCATGGAAGTTTTGAGGTCAGACAGTTTCATATCTTCTGGCATAGCCAGATAATTTTTTTAATCTGGACAAGATCAACAAAATTGCACAGCATTCCAGAACAATAACAACTCATTCAGAAATCCATCCACATCCAAAATTTAGGGACCAGATTATACACAATGCTAAGAATTTAAAGCTTTTCAATTTCAAAAGCATGCTAGATCAGACCCTAGTTTTTTATCATCACTGGGTAACAACATTTCCCTTTTCAGTTGAGAGGACAAGAACAATACTAAACAACAGATTTCCAAACCTTTCCTGAATGTATCTCCCTTCTATCCATCCATGATTTCAGGTTCTTCTGATCAAGGTAGCAAAAGGATCTATTTCAGACTGCTCCACAGGACATGAGTACCTGTGGGAGAGGGTAAAAAAAAAGCCGCCTAAGGATATGACACATTTTAAATGCAGAAGGAAGGGGAGGCAATTGTGATAAAGATGCAATTAGATTTTCAGAACAGCTAGCTTTGTTTCCTATCTATCCACAGCTGAGAAATATGTCTTTGCTCAAAAAGATATTTTACTCATATTCCTACCTGTCTCAACAGCTGAATATTGAGATGACTTTCAGATAAGACAGGTGCATTTGCAGATCTCTGGGACTAAAATTTTAAATTACTCAAATAATTAAATAGTACAAAATTATAAATGTGGTTTATATGCAATTCATCTGGGCTTTGTCTTGATGAGCGATGTCTCACACAACTGGCTGTGAGTTACAGGCAGAAAGTTTACAATTATTTACTGTATCTTTTCACTGCATTCTAAATTTTGTCTTACACTCTTGTCTCTTCAGTTAATATAAAGGAGCAATCTTTTTCCTTTCTGCTAAATTTAGAGATTTGTAGTTAGCAGAATTCAGGGGAAAGATATGATAAAAAATTCAGTCAATCAGTGGTTTAGGCCACATTTACCCTAGAGATAATAACAAAAACCCACCACTGAGCTACAGCTTTTAAGTTTTCTTTATTTCTTTCTTTTTGACTGCAGATTTGTGGGGATTTTTAAGAAATCTCAAATGAAAAAAAAATATGTTTTAAAACTTTATTTTCTGAAGCTTTTACCAGTTTAAGCTTATCATAATATTCTCACTTGTTGATCTACAAATTTTCATTGCCTCTTTTGGAATGTGTTACACATTTAAGGATGAAAAAGGGAAAAATATTGACTGCAGAGAACTACCCACAGCATGGCACTACATTTGAATATGACCTGTGTATGGATTTGAGTATGTAATTTAAGGGTAATGTTCACACTTGCTGAGGAGCAGATCCTGTCATCTTCATGTATGATATCAGAAACTAATGGAAAAAATAAAGAAGCCAACTAGTCAAGATTAATAATAATGTCAGAGTAAGATCCAAAGCAGCCAATTACAACCCAGTAAATTTGAAATTTAACACCTGCTAAAATCTCAAATATCCCTATATGTCTTGTGAAGTCAGAATACTTTGCAAGGAATAATTAAGTGATAAATTCTGGGTGTTGATGTTCGGCATTACTTTTTTATCCATAATGAGATATATTGTTATTTGGTTCTTTATACACAGATGAAATAATATAGAGGTAGCATCCCAAGAGACTTGGGATAATGTAATAGTAATACTAATAGCAATAGCAATAGTAATAGTAATTAATAATAATGGTAATAATAGTAATAGTAATCATAATAGTAATAGTAATGAGGGCCTTTGTTTGCTATTCTGGAGTTGTTGAAAGCTCAGTAAATATAAAAGTAAGATATATCGATCTTATCCTCAGCTAAGAAAACTCAGGAATGCCCTGGGGATGCTAGATTTGTCACCAGCTGTCTTATTCAGGTGAAAGGTCTTTGTACAAAGCTAAAAAGAAAATATTGCAAGAGTTTCTAGGGTCCAAAGGCTGCCTGGCCCCAAGGAAGGATACAGACAGCTTCTCTGGACTGGTCTTTCCTCATCAACCCACATCAGGGAAAATTCAAAGACTGCTTCCAGAGCTAACTATTCCTGAAGCCATAAAAGAAAGCATTCTCTGTCTGGAGCAGGAGAAACACAGGACCTGCATTGTAGAACAATCCTCAGGATACTTTCTTCTGGCTGAGAATCAGAAAAAATCTACTATATGTTAATAGTTACAGAAAAGGCACTAAAAGAATGGTGACTCACAAAAAAACTACCTTGCCTCATTTGGCTATTTTACTAAGGATGTCATAGGTCAAAGTACCATGTGAGCACAAACCTTGTAGTGAATGATTTCAGGAAGCACCAGTGCATTTCATGGTAAAGAAGCTCATCCTACAATTATTCACTGAGTTTGTGAATTTAGACCATTCATTGATATCAGCCTGTATCAGTCCCGAGCCAGAGTTCTTGCTCTAAGTATAAATTTGCTCATGCTTACATTAGCTGTGGCCTTCAAAGAAACTATGGTTTAATTACATATCTCCAAAGGAACCTGTCTATAGAACTTGAACTGTACATTTTATCACAGATATTTTTGAAGCTCATAAACTAACAAAGGCTTAGCTTTGGGTTACATATTCCCCAGAAGTGCAACTATATTATCAGAGTTTCAACTTATTTCTGTAAGTGCAAACTTAATGTGAATAGGATTAACAGAACTGCTGGAAACTCTTAATTTCTTCTGTGTAATCCATTTTGATAGATGTAATAATGTAATACTCTACATACCAGTTTAATTTCAAATTTCAGTCCATATGTAGCTAATTATCAAGAAATGCATAGAAAATAAGGAATTGCAGTACAGAAATCCAATTATTAATGGAATTAGCACAGAATAGCAAAAAAATAGGTTTGGGTTTTGCTGGGTTTTTTGGTGGACTTTCTTTCATTTTTTTTGTTGGTTGGTTGGGGGTTTTTGTTCGGGTTTTTTGTTGTCTGTTTTTGTTGGGGTTTTTTGTTTTGTTTTTTGGGTTTTGGTGGGTTTTTTGAGAAAAAGATCAGCACTGAAATACCTTAAAATTTTTCTAAATGATGAAAGGTTGATATATTAGTAAGACTTAAGTAATCAAGTGCAATTTGATAACTTGAAGTACTTTTGGACTTTGTAGCGTGTGTTTATCAGGACAGGAAATGCAACTCACATAGCTGATGAAATAAAATTTCTGCAGTGTTCTTTCAGTCAGGGAAGCTGCCAGAAACTGGGGTGCAGGACTACACTTGATATCAGCAATCAGATTAGTTAATACATTGTTAGGTGTAACTGCTGATTTTTAGTCTGGCTTCAGTGTATCTGAATCTAAGCAAATTATTCCTCAAACACTTAAAAATGTGGAATACATTTTTAGAATAAACTTCATATGAAGTTCTGGCTCTTGTCTGGACAAAGGCTGTGACTAAACGCTGTATTTCAGCATCCAGGCATAAATTGTGATTTAGCAGCCTTTCTAAACAGTTTGTTCAGTGCTGGCATGTGTTTTAGGCATAAAGAGAAAGATGACATTCTATTTTGCCCTTCCATGTCAGAGCTGGTACTTTAGTTTCACTCTGGTGTAGGATGTTATTACCCCTGATAGCAGGAGACTGAGTTTAGTCTCTCTGGATTTAGTAATTTTCTATCTAATACCCAGTTAAGCATCATGCTGTGACTAAGAACCATGTTCTGTGTAGGTTTTTTTGGAAGTACTGCCACTTCTGCACCTGAATGCACCTGCCCCCATTCACCAGCAAAGTTATCCACGTCACTGTGAACAGCAGTGGTGAAGTAACAAAGTTTTGTTACTCACGGAGAAAATTTGAGCAAGTAACAATTCAAAAAGCTGCTAGCCCCTAAGAAGAGATGTAATAAATAGCCTGACATATGGACACAAGGAATCACATAGCTACAGCCCCTCTTGCTACAAGTACTGAAGCAGACACTGAGTTAATCTGAGTTTGAGGTATTGGTTTCACAAAACAGAAGTTTAATATTACAGTTTAATTGTTTTCTTTCAAATTGTAAACTTCCAATTTGACAATTGCCAGCAGTGACATAGAAAGATTACTTGGGTGTGTTAGTAAATGCACATCACATTGCTGTAGGGCAAGATGAAAAAACAGCGCTCTTTAGATCTTGCATGCTGTGAGTGGTCCAAAGGGACGTTAAAGTTAACTTCTACAATAACTGCTGCATTAAGAAACTGAACAGGAAATGCTCAGCCATGTTGACAGTCTGTTGTATTTTCAGACAATTTTTAGCTGTAATTTTCTGCTGTGAAGGCCCGATCGTTTTGCCAAATGATGGAGAGCTTTACACATTGAAAATTAAACAATTCCGTTGTCTTGGAAAAATCAGATATATTTCCTGATTTCACTTAGTAAGGTCACATTTTTATTGTCAGAACGACAGATCTTCGCTTGCAAAGATCTCCAGTTTTTTGCAAGTTTTTGCCCCCCTCAAAAAATAAATCCCAAAAAAGAGCTGGTTTTCCATCTGCAAATTATGTCATTTTGTATAACCAGGCTGTAGCTCTTACTGCAGGAAGAGAACTTGTTTCACTCTGATCCAGACTTTTTGTATGGTACCTGTATCATTCAGAACCAGCACTTGTATACAATACCTGTATCATATTTCTGTTCTATGGGATGGCTCCCAGTTAGAGTGGAAGTTTGCCTCTAGAAATTTATCAAGGCTGGTCAGATTTAAAGATGTTCTTCTGTTAGCCTGTAGCATTTAGGATCATCGGCAGTAAGGATGAAATCCCAGCCATTCTGAAGTCACTTACAGACTTCCTGTTAAGCCCTGCTGAAGTTGCATCATATAAATAGATGTTCTTTTATACAGCCATATGAGAGCATTGTATGAACAAAACATACCTAGGAGAGTGAGAAATGGTGTAGTTCCTCACCACAAATGCTATTGGTGCTGCCTCTGGTAGCACTTCAAATATGTTTTCCACAGCACTCAGTCATCAGACTCATTATTGGACAGAAGGCCTGAAGCTGAGAGCTTTTAAACTGTGCTGCAAATCATAGGATCGCTCAAAACAGGTCTTACACCTTATACAGCTATATAAGCACAGGAACATACTTAAGTATTTTTCATTCTATCACAGTTTTATTCAGAGGCTAATGTTGGTTAAATCACAACACAGCACCTAAGCTCATTAAAAAACGGATTTGAAACATTTGCTCTCCACGTGCCACAGAAGCCGCCGGGCACGGCAGCACCATCGCCTCATCCTCACTGAAGGGCAGAGGCCGCCCTTCATCCTTCCGCAGGGCTACCGCACTCCACCCCCCTCACAGAGAACCTTGGGAGCCACAAAGACATGGCAGGACTGGAAGGGACGAGACAGGGCCACGAACCGGCAGTGAGGGAGCCCAGGGCCTTGGCTGGAGCTTGAATGGCGCCACGGGTGAGGCCCAGGTGGGCCATGATGGGTGCTGGTGTTGGCAGGTGAGGCGAGGGGCTGTGCCCAGCGCAGGCATCAGCAAATAACGTGGGAGAAAAGCCGAAAGCAATGGCTAACTCGAGCCATTGCCACGTCTCTGCTCCCCTGAGGCTGCCTCTGGGCACTGAAAGGGTCGGGGCTGACGGCCCGAGGTGCCGCCCGCAGCCCTGCGCTCCAGTGCCGCTGCAGCGCGGGCAGGGCCGGGCAGGGCCCGCCGTGTGGGGGTCTGTGCCCAGCTCCAGCCTCGAGGGGCTAAGGGGCTCCAGCGGCCCTCCCAGGGAAGGGCCCGGTCACTTCCCTCCGTCCCCCCCTGGAGTGGCTGCGGGAGCTGCTCGGCAGCCCAGCCAGGGAACCCTGTGCGACACGGGGACAGGGACACGGCGGCCGCCGGAGCCGCGGCTGCTCTGCAGAGAGGAGCCTCAGCCGGGCCGCGCCTGACCGGCTGCGCGGCAGCATCCAGCGACAGAGAAAGCCTTTCTCCTGAAAGGTGAACCACCGCTTAGTTTTGCTCTAACATTTCCCCAAATCCATCTGCTTTCAATAAAGCCGAAAGGCACGCATCAAACTTTCCCCTAAAATGTTTTTTATTTGCTATTTTGAAATAGGGACTGAAAATTGTTGCTGCTGGCATCACTACAGGCACATTTCCAGTGCAACTGCAGAAAAAACAAAAGGGCAGATTTAGGAAGGAATGAAGAAAAACTAAGAAAGTGATGAAATATGGTGCAAGTGGGAAAGTGAAGATGTAATTTTATGTAGACGTTTTCAGTGTCTTTTTTCCACTTCTGTAACCTGTGGAAGTTCAGTTATACATGGTTAGGAAAACATCAGGGTAGTCTGGGAAAAAAAATATTTTAACACTATGTCTTGGAAACACCCCACTCATTAAAGCAACCATTACTGACAAAAAAAAAAAAAAGAAACAAAGAAGGATAAATTAGGAAAATATAATACCAAATAACCATAGTGCAGTGAAAAAAGAAATTTCATTTTGTCTGATCCTGGAGTTTTCTGTCATACTCATCACTTGGAGAGGGAAAGAAACTAAAATCTGTTTTCGGAAATTCAGAAATAGAAATATGCTTTTTACATCTAAATACAGCTCTTGCATTTGTTGAAAGAAAAGTTACTTTGATATTTGTTGCTAAATAAAATCCTGGATCAAGTAAAATTAATTAAAAAATTAGTTAAGGCAACTATAAACACAGGAAATATACATGAATAAAGTGTTCTAAAAGTCAGGCAACTCTTTTAAGACTATAAATATCACCTAAGCAAGGCCACTATAATTAGCAAAGGGTGAACAAAAGAAGACATCCAGAAATAGATGGGGAGGGGGGAGGCTAGGAGGGTGAAATGTCTTGGTTAACCTTATTTGAGTGTTCTTTCCATAGCATAGGAAATGGTTCCAGCTAGCTCATGAGTTCTGTTGGTATTAACTGATTTTAAAAGGACATTTCCATGTTGTCTCTATGCCAAGGAAATTCTTTTACTGGAGTGTTCACTGAGTACAGGAAACATCACCCTGACAAAGTGACGCTGAATGTGAGGAAGAATTGTGTCTTTATTCTGGTGTTACACTCAACACCGTCTGTTTGTTTCATCTGGATACCTTTTGGTATTTATTGGGGAATACTTACTGCAGTCTCCCAGCTTGTCCTGAGTAATGAGCACACTGGTGGTGCTGAGTCATAATCCTTCACCACTCAAGAAGCAGCTTTCTGCATTTCTTAGGCAACTGATTAGTCTGAGGGATGATCCAGCACTTTAGAGGAGGCAGAGACAGGGCTGTCTAGTCACATGCTGATCTGCTTCATCCTTCTTCAAGGTATGGGCAGAATAGACTTAACAGTGATGGGAACCTTTCTCATCTACATGGCCAGAATTCACTGTGCAATAAAATAAATACGTACCTATAGCTGCTTTCTCTCCTAAATAGAGTTGGACAAATCAGTCTTGTATATAGTATTTTTCAGTGTTAGTCAGGCTGTGGTCATGGACCCAGTTTTGTACTGCATATCAGAAAAGCTTTACTGTAACCAACAAGAATTTTGATCAAATAGGAAGTGCAAGATCTTGAATACTGCATTTCCATTTTCACTCCTAGCGTTTGCCAGTTTTCTGTCTTCTTCTTTAAAGATGCCTGTGTCAAGCATTGAAGTTCATCTTCTACATGTTACTTCTAAATGCCTTATTTGTTATCTACTTCTTTTCCTTCCTATTTCTTGGGAATTGTGCCATGGCCACTACATAGGCAGCAGTAACTGCAATTATTTGTGACTGTGGGCACCACTGACCTTTTCCTTCAACCAGTCAGTAGTTTCAGTGGAAAGCCCTTAAAATCTTTGTGCACTCTTTTTGGAGAAAGTGGAAATATTTGAGAAAAAGGTTCACGTGTGTGGGTCATACAGGCCAGCAGTCACCATATTGATATTTCTGGAGCTCAGTAAAAATCAAAGTAAAACCACAAAGTTATTTAATCCTAAGTATTAACTTTCCTTCAGGTAACCGCAAAAGCATGTAGAAAGAATACCAGGTAAGAATTGCCCAAAGTTTGTGTTTCTGCTCCTGTTTGTGTAGTGGTTTCAACAACCCTGTCCTGTGAATTGCAGGAGGTGGCAGGGGTGTAGTAGACTGGCTTCTTGGAGACATGAGACTGAATTAGCCAGTGGTGCAAATAATCCAGTGTGCAACTGGAAGTCAAAACTAATGTGTAGCTTGTACCTGGGTCACTGTAGTATAAAATAGTTTCAGTTTCTTTTTTGATAACTCCACAGTCACTGATGTACCTTTTATCTGTACATGGAGAGAAGAGCAGGACATAGAAAGCCAGATTCTCACAAACAAATACATACATATGTATGTATGTTTTTGGGTTAGTACATATTATACCCATGAAAAACAAGAACAGGCAATTTTTTGCATCTGAGGCCAAGATGTGGATTGTCCTAGCACTATTTGGAATATTTCCCGTATTGATAAGATTCTACCTAGACTTTCAAGTCTTTGAGAAATCCAAAATTTCTCAGTAAGGAGTAGCACTGTCTTTCTGATGCAGGACTTGGAAAATAATGGTCCTTGCTTATAGTACAGTCAATAAACAACAAGAATATTAACAACAGCAAAAATAGTAACAACTTTAAGTAGAAAGAAACACATGGCAATTGCTTTACATGCTCCATGGTTTGGACCCATCATTCACAAGATAGGTTCTCATTTTGCAAGTGTAGTCAAGAACTGTGCTGTCTTCCTGACTAGGAATGAACTTTAAGAGAGAGTGTTCCCAGTAGGAAGGGTTAGACCTCAAAGTGAGTATTTACATGAGCAGCTCATTTGGTAACATTGAACCACATTTATTTTTAATTTGCATGCCTCTCCTTTAAGTCATACCCTTCTCCTCTTAACTTCAGTGGGAGCTCCACATGTTTCGCCTTTGATTCCACTGCATGCTGGCAACTCTAATTAGTGTTAACAGGAGTTCAGTGGAGTTTCTTGCTCTTCTTTCTCTGTAAAAGAGTTTACAGATCAGGAGTTGGAGATTTATCAAACTGGTATGTGGTGTCTATCAAGAATGTATCTTCTTTTCTTCTTTTTCCCAGCCGAAGTGGAACTTAACCTTTTTCTAACAATGGTGGTGTAACTATGAGAAAAATTACATTGATCATTCTAACAAGCTCTCCTTAGTTGATGAAAAAAATTGCTTAGTATTGGCTTTGATTTTTTTAACAGTAGTAATTTCAGCTAGTTAACACAGCCTTACTGTTTCAATTGCTATTATAGTAACAGTGCAGTAAAAACGAGTTAGAGCAGCTCAATTCTCTGGGGCTGCAGCCTGCAATTTAAACTAAACCCCAGCCTGCTCTGCCCTATAGAAACTGCTTTGAATTTCAGAGATATTTTGTATAGGGACACTATGCTATATATTGAGCAAGACTGGGAGAACCTGGCCCTTTTTTGCAATGCTGCTCGTTTTATTAAGAATAAACACCCGTAACCAAACCCTCATCATTAAACATCACATCTTGAAAACAGAAATACTTTTCCATTTTGAGATTTTAATCTCAGACTTTCATACCCATGTGTATGGACATACACAATGAACAGGAGCCACTACTTTCCTTCTTCATAAGAACTGTCACACGTGGCTTTCTGTGCTCACATAATCCTCCTTCCAATATTTCAAAAGACACAGAACTTCCCAGCATGATGATAAAGTTTTCCTGTGTTCCAATAATAAAAGTTGAATATACCAGTAATTTCCAGTTCCTCTGTGGTGGGGCAGCCTGTGAAGACTAAATCAGAAGTAGACAACCTGCAATATCAGTGTGGGAGTCGGAAACAGATGTTCACCAGACAATACAATTTGTTGTCACTGTCGATACTATATGGCACTTTTCCCAACAGAAATTTTCTGTAGTTGGAAAGGAATGTAAGGAATGATTCATGCCCCAAATTATTATTATTTGTTAAATTACTGTTAATGTTAAATACTCCTTGCTTTATTTTATTTCAAATGCCTGAATCAGAGAGGCACATCCACTCAAAAATACAATTAATTAATTAATTAAAAATACAATAAATTAAAAATACAAGCTGAGCTTGTAGCATATGTGTACAATGTAAACCAGTTAATTTAGGGCTTTTTTCATCACAACAAGATATTCTGTTATATTATAACCAAGAGTCAAATTCTCTTCTTTAGAATCAGGGTAATTTAACCTTCACTTTTATAAAATATTTGCTCAGTAGCTATTTACAAAGGACATGGCAGGAGGTAAATGAGACAAATTATTTCATGAGAATCTGTGTATCTATGAAAATTAAAATTTATTATATCCATATAAGAGTATTTTTATACATATAATAACATTTACAGTAGTGTATGTCTTGAAAATTCTAATAGGCCATTTGGGCATTCAAAACTGATCAAACACTCAAATGAGCAAAACCCTCTATTAGCATATGATGGTAGCATATGATGCCTAGCCTTGATTTCCAGATTTCATGAATATTACAAAAGCAGATGCACTAGATCGTACTTACTGTAAAAGGCAATGGATTGGGCTAGGTGCTTTTAAAATTAAATATTAATTTTTCAGGGATACATAAAATATATTTTAAAAAACGCAGAAAGCCTAAGTGAAACCCAAACTAAATACAAATTAATATGTTCAGTAGTAGTGTAAAAGAGCTAAAGATCTGACTTCCAGAAAATTTGGTTATAGCACCTATATTTTACACGAAAAAGTAATGCTAGGTATTTTCAAAGATGAAGACATCTGGGATTTGACTTAGAGTTCAGTGAAACTGGTGACAAAACTGACCTGTAATTGCTGACTGTTGTGCCTCTGACAGACTTTCTTTAGAGATATTAAAAAGAGGAAAATGTGCATTTAATCATACAGGCCGAACAAGAGCAAAATATTTTAGCACTATAAAATCAAACAGCTGTCTTATTTTTACAAATGCATGTGGTAACACTTCACAGTAATCTTTTTGTAATACTAATTTTGCATTTACTGTGTTTACTGTTGCAGCATTCTGCAATAGAGTGGTTTACCTCCGTACATCAGGTTTTAGTCAATGGGAAACATGAAATGATTTTCAGCTGTGCGTTTTGTTGTAACTGCTGCATGATTTAGCCTCAAGACCTATCCGTTGTCCAACTTTTTTTATGCTTTTAGATTTAGTGAATTTAGATATATTTCCATAGTGAAACATGAGGTGATTTTGAATAAGAGCTTGAACATTGCGAAATTTTCCAAGTGAACATGAGATGAAGCAGGATGAAATAGCTGATAAGGTTACACTTAGCACACTTGTAATCAATGTGCTGAATTTCTCTTTGTGTCTGTATAAGTGTATTTTTATATACATTCAAGGGTCAAACTGAGTTTTTCATCAACTAGATGTTGGCAAGTGCCAAAGTGATTTAGGATTAGAATGGGATTTAGGCTGATCTAGCTACAGTTGTATTTCTCATTTCATCATCATGCCAGGGATACTGTGACAGTTGCGGGTTTTCCTTAATTTATGAAATAGACAAAATTAAATGTCCATACCAGACATACCATTAGGTTATGGGGAGTGAAAGAGAAACACTGCATTAGGCCTTACTCTTTTGTCTGCACCCAGCAGAGAGTCCTGAATGTACAAAACAGCTGGGAAACTTCCTATGTGGCACACAGCTTGAAAAATTAATTCAAGATTTTTTTTAAAAATCAATCTGATTGTGTTTATTTCAAGTGACTGTTAATCTGATTCTGTAGTATATGTCTTTGTAAAATATTAATAGGTACAGAAGTGTATTATCTGGATCTATTGTATCATTTTTAATATTAATTCTACTCTCATTTTTAATATTAATTCTACTCTCATTTTTACCATCATGGGAGTTGAATCCCAAAAAATATTTCAGACTTTGAACAATTTTTGTTGCAACACTAGAGACATCATTGCTCATACAAAGTTTTAGTACTACTTATAATTTCAAAAATTACTTGATTAAAATAGACCTGTTTGTAAGAGTGATTAATCCACTATTTTCAATGATGCTGATTTTTATGCATTAATTATTATCTGCAAAATGACACTTTGCTGTCTCTCCTTGTCAATTTAGGTATCTTTTTTGAAAAAGAGGGGTTTCAGAAGGAAACAAATGTTGATGTTCAGGTTACAGGGATGATTTCCAAAGAGATGAGAGAAAAAGAGATTACTGAAATTAGCAGGAGTGTGTCTCACCTGACAGTGAGCGGAGTGAGCAGCACAGGGAGGAGAAGAAACCCTTGGCCACCGCATAGTGCGGCTGTGTACACCAGAGTTACTTAGAGTGCTCTGAATCTCATCTTTTGATCTCAGGCGATATTTTTCTCTGTTATGTCACAGAGGTCACCTGGCTCATGTGTGACAAACTGCCTGCATAAGTCACAGTGCCAGTGGCAGAGATTTGTAACCATGTCCCTGGTCCATTGCCTTTGAATTATTTCGCAGGCCCTCTGCTTTACATTTACACTCTGTCGGAAGATGAACAGAGGAAGGGAGTAAAATCAAGGGCAGGGTCTCATCCTGAAGGACAAGGGGAAACAGGTGGAAGGTTAATGGCCCTGGAGCGTATCCACAAGCCTCTCAGGCTTGATATATGGGCCTCAGGCCTAAAACGGGCATTGGCTTTCAAAGATATATTATTTCATTTGAGGAGAGACATTCTGGAGTTCCTGCATTTGTCTGCTGATAGATGATCCTCTGTCCACAATTGGTTATGGCGTGTGAGTTTTCCTTGGGCCTGCTCCCGTACATAAAAATTTTGCTGAGCTCTCCAACCTTTCGCATGCCTGTGAGAATGGGACGTGTGCGGGCCTTTTGGCAGGCAGCTGGATTTTTGTTGCTGCTATTTTCGTAGTTCCTTTTGAAGAGCCAGGCAAGTGGGGGATGAAAGGCACTTCTGTTCATTCATACACGGCTGGGCAGGGGCAGCTTCGTGGGGATGAAAATGGGGCAGAAGAAGATGTCAGGGACCCATTATGCACTTGTGTGTCTGCAGCCGTGCAGAAGTCACTCCCGCTGACCCCCTGTTTTATACTGGCACATGCCTACAGAAAAATTAAAAAGGGGAAATAATTTGCCTAAGTTTTATGACCTCCTTTGGTTTATTGTATTACTGTTCTGTTAGGGTTTTGCATGTGCTTCAGCTTATGGGAAAAAAACTGAAATACAAATTTCATATCTTGAAATTTTTGTGTCCTTCTCTGTAATGTTTACCCCAGGCACCTCATGAAAATGAGACACTACTGCCCACATCTCAGCAAAGCACCAGAGGCCCCAGAGCTGGTTCTGCTCAGTGTGCAGAACTGTGCTGCAAGGGTGCAGCACATGGTGCCGGTGGGACCTGGCCCTGCTCTATCTCTTGTGGCCAGCTCAGAGGGGCACCTTGGCATGCACAAAGGAGTCTGGTGGCAAAGGCCTTGTTCAGAGAGGGAGTAAGTCCCAGATTCACTGCCACAATGGCATTCCCATGGCACCTTCTGTCACTGCATGACTGTCATAAATTGTGGGAAAATCTGTTCAAAAACCAAAATGTTTAACAAAAAAATCCAGAATCTTAACATATATTTTTGTTTAATGTAGCCTACTTAACACCTTGTTAAATTCTCTTGATTTTTACCTGATTGTAGTTACTGTTACAGGATTGTGTATCTATGACCTATTACACATGACAGCATGATTTCAAAGAAAGTAGGATGTATATTTATACTATATAAAATATATTACTTTATATTTGTTTTAATAATAAATAACTCTTCCGTTTCAGTGGATAGATTTTGCTTAAAAGAATTTACATTAATTATACTTAAATATCTCCTAGTTTCACCTTTTTTTATTTTTCCCATGCTACTAAAAAAGCAAAGTAAATGCAGGACATATGACGTTAAGTTTCAATGCAGTTTGTTTGCTTTGCTTTTGCAACAGTAAAACTTGTACTTACATAAATTGTAAAAGAGTTATATAGGTACCATGTTGTTTGAGTAACTAGGTTCTTCTTTTGCTGTCACTGAACTCAGTTGGTAAGCTCTCAGCTCCAGTGTGAGCAAGATCAGGCTCATTCTGCATTTCAGTCAGTTCCTGCAAAAAATGTGCTGGTGCAGTGCAATTATTCTTTCTTCCTTTAGTGTTCTGCAGAGTTTAAGTTAGACAAGTGAGCTAGAAACTTGAAAGATATTCAGTGTCTCCTGCAGCCATAGGAAGGAAATCTGAGGACTTGTTAAAAGGAAAGATTTAGAAGCAGAAATTCTACAGAGAGAACAGAACAGAGTGTTAGCAGGCAGGAGGATCTGCTTTTCCACTTGTTGCTTTGATAACGGATAAAAGGCTGTCATGAACTGCAGGCTACCAGCTGGGAGCAGATAGAGTAATCCCAGCAGAGGGTTGGCCCCAAACTACACAGGCATTCTTTTAAATGTTCGAGACCGTAGGAAAGTTGTTTTTCCCCTGCCATTGTCATCATTATTCATGATGATGTTTTCCACCCTAGTTTAAAATGTTGGTCTAGTAAATCTACCTTACAATACTTTTCTGTTTGAAATATAAGCAAATATAAGCAAATACCACGTAGTCAGAGATATTTCAGCTATTTCATTCAACTGCCTGAAGATTCCCAAAATAAATTCCAGAGAACTGGATCTGGATCTGCTGTAAGAAATCTCTGTCATTTGATTGTAAAGGTATATTGTGCCCAACGTGCAGATAATCATAGGAACAACTTGTAACCTATGTCTTCCTTGTAATCAACACTCTTGATAAATGAAATCCAGAGGCTGTGTTACTTGTAAGAGAATAGCAACAGAATGTCGTTTGTTAGGAAAGGAGCCCAAGTGACCCCTGCCCAGTGCAAACACAGGCGAACACAGTGACAGAGCCTGGCAGACCCATGCTACCGTAGCTGTGGTGATGTGCATTGTGCCACCAAGGTCATGTTACCAGCATGCTTAGACACATGCATGGCTAGGCCAGGTGCATGTGTTAGCATGTTATACATGCTTGACAAGATGGGGTGTTACAATCTGAATTATTGCAGAGAACAAACAAAAACATTTAAGCCCCAGTTGTCGTTCTATAATGTTCATTTTAATGATATATGTAGGGGTCTAGCTTATTTTGTATTCTTATGTGTAATTACCAATATAAAAAAACACCACTCATTAGTGTTCTGTTCCACTGACTTAATTATACTCCTTAATTAAATCTTGACTAACTGGGGGTCACTGCAGTGTCAGTGGGATTTGTCACTGTTTGTCAGCAGGTGTCTGGTCACATCTATTTCTGGTTTCCCTGTTGCTGTATGCTGTTTAAGAGCATGATCTTTTCTAAATGCAGAGGACAATTATGCATTACTTTGTTGTGGTTTGTGCTTTAAAGAAATGTAAGTGAATCCATTCTGTAATATAAGCGCTCTCCCAATCTTTACGTACAGGTGGTGGGGAATGTAGCAAGTATTAATCTTTTCAAAAGACAATTCATTACCTCACTGGTGCTCATTTTCAAAGGCTTGCTCTTCCTGCAATCAAAAAACATGGTCTTACTAATTTATCAGATAATCTTGTGTTCAACAGGCATAAAAATATATTGCAAATATCAATCCAGAGATAATACTCCTTTTCCTTATCTCCTAAACATGAAATGAATTTGAAACATGACCAGCAAGAACAAGCTAAATCAATATTACTTGCATAAGAAATACTACATGGCATGTGCTGCTATTGCTGTGCTGCTCAGAGTCAGAAGACCGAGGCTCCCGATTCACTGTTCCCTGAATAATTCAGTGGGAGTTCTGCATGTGCAATAAGGGCATAATAGTGCCATTTCTGTCTATTTCGAATTTACATGTTTTGGGTTTGTTATTTTAGAAAGTTACTTAGGGAAAATATAATTCCCATGTTTATGCATATAATAGGCACCTAATGTTCATCTGAATAATTGATTAGTCAAGTCAGGCTTTCATAATTAGCTATTGGCTTTCCAATATAAGCCCACAAAACACTTGTCAATCTACAGACATTTTTAATTTATTAATATATATGTTATCAAAAGAGCTGCAGTAGTTACCTAGAAAGCATTATTTATTCTGTAGAGGCTGAGGAAGCATTTAGATTCTAGACATGTATTTTGAATCTATTGTAACTTTCCCAGAAGATTATTTTTCCGTTCTGAAAGTTTTCAGAAATGTTCTCTGCCTATAAGCTTTTGCCTATAGTGGAAATTTGAGTGCCTTTTTTATTATTATTATTTTTAAATCCATTCCTGTGTTACAAAGAAGTAACAGTGACATGTCCCATTGACTATAAAATAATGTGTATTACTTATTTACACTCAGATACATTACAAGCATCTAAATAGATGCCACTAGCAGATATCCTTAATGCAGCCACAAATTCTGTGACCAGACAGATGCATCTGTTGATAGCACATGTGTGACAGTGATATTGAAATTACGAGTTGTGAAGCTGTACGGTGAATTTCAGAATCTCAGGATAAATTGTATTTCTCATTAACTTCATGACCTTGTTTGAACTCTACCACTATTCCAGTTTTGCTTCCTCATATTTCTGACCAGTTTTCAAGTGGTTGTTTCTAAAGGGAAAAAAACACCTGACTTACTCCAGAAGTACCTTGTGAGCCCACTGGCATGAAATTCATAAAGCAAAACATTTGATTGTGAAATCCAGAATGAAAATTGTTTGTTTCTTACTAGAGGTATGTTAAAACAATTGGAGTAGAAATTCTGTAGTTTGTTTTACTGGGAAACAAACTTTATGTTTCCATTGGGAGGCAGCATTTACTTCTAGCACTTGATGAGTGTGAGGCATTGAATTTAAAAAAAAAAAAAGTGTTATTATTATTTCTGGAAAAGGTATTTCAGTTCTGTATATTCTATGAGTTTACTTACCCTTGGCCCTGTTCAGGAGAATCACCCTCATTTTAGTGAAAATATATAAGTACCAGCTTCCTAACAGTGCAGTCAGGACCAGAACCTTCCTGAATCAAAGTGTTTCTGAAACCTGTACTGTTGGATGTGTATTAGGTTCCTTGCTTTATAAAACACAAATATAATATCAGGAGTTAAAACCCCTTCTAGATCTAAAACACTTCTATTATTAGTAGTAGGAAAAAGTACGCCCATTTTGGTGGTGAGATTTATTTAACTGTGGCTCACCACTAGGAATTATGAGGTCTCACAGAATTCAGACAAGTTCTTGTGCAATACTGCAACATCTTGTGTACCACACATGTTCTGCATACTCTCAGCTTCTATTGGAAGGCATAAAAGTATTAGAATAATTCTCTTGAAGTTTGGTAACATACCTCCAA